CCCCAAATACAGTATCATTTACCAAAGGACTTGGTGTCCCTGTAAACAGGGATCTATGGTCAATCACCTACCTGGACTTCCTTCACCAGTTTTACAGAATCCAGGCTGCTATGGCAAAAGCAGGACTGTCATCAGCTGTATAAATTGCTGGTTTAGAGAGAAGAAAGGCTATTCAACAGCCAGTTTCTCAATGAAAGAAAGAAGTCCCAGATACTCCTGTTGGAGCTTGTACTCTTCAATGTTCACAAATTATTTAGAAAAGCGGGTGATGAGCAAGATTTCAAAGTTTGCCAGTGGCATAGCTCTCAAGAACTTTGAAAAAGGCTTCAGAAGGTTCCCACAGCACAAAGAAACTGAGCAATAAAACAAATTATGAAATTCACTTTAGATGAATGAAAACCCTTGTGTCTCCATACACAATAATGAGCTCGGAATGAACTCATTTTCTAGGTGTCCAGTACCGATTTCCATTCTCATAGCATCATAGAATCACAGAATGGTAAGGGTTGGAAGGGACCTTAAAGATCATCTAGTTCCAACCCCCCTGCCATCAGCAGGGACATCTTCCACTAGACATGGGTGCTCAGAGCTCCATCCAACCTGGCCTTGAACACTTCCAGAGAGGGGGCATCCACAGCTTCTCAGGGCAACCTGTTCCAGCGTTTTACCACCCTCATGGTGAAGAATTTCTTCCTAATATCGAATCTAAATCTGCCCTCTTCTAGTTTACAGCCATTCTTTCCCCATGTTGGTCTCTGCTGGAGACACGATGATGGGCTGGATGGATCTTCAGACTAATCCAGCACTGAGTACTTCTGCTTTTATGTCTTGCTTTTGAAAGCAGTGCCATCTCCCTTCCCATTTGCCAGAAGATTTCTTCGGACTGAACTGTAACTGCTCTACAAGTCCCACATCCACCAGAGGAGGACAGGTAGGGCTTTGCCAATTTCAGCCTCCCACTGCCAACTGTGCCCTTGGAAATCAGTCACAATTTGTCCAATCAAATCACACAACTGTAGGAAATTCAGGGTTACTTCCACACTGTTCAAAACAGTTGAAAGCTGAATCTGCACATCCCTGATGACGAGTATCTGCAGATTAACTCATTTTGTAGTATTTCTGCACACCTCTACCCCCATCAGCTGACTGCTGCCTTGCCAGGAAGAAACTGGACCTGAGGGGCTCTAGGGTGCCCAGCTTACAGGTGGTCTCTCAGGCTAAATGGCTGGGACAGATCTCTGTGAAGATCTGTGTCCTCCTACAGAAATGCCGGTGCTGTGGTGGGTTGTCTTCTAGCTGAAGAGTAACACATTTTTACATTGATAGTTCCATCCAGATACTCCAAGTCACCAGAATAGGTTGATGTTGGCAACTGGCCCAATATTGTCTTTGCTTCCCAATCTGTTTTGTCCAGCGCTCTGCCACATTTGCTCTTTGGACCCAGAAATTCCTAAAAGGTCTTCCACTGACCCTTCCTGAATATTTGCTTGAAAGTAATAGCTTTAATTCATATCCTAAGTCCATGCTTTTCACATTGCTAGTGAGCAAGCATGGTGTGTAACTGCAATGCCTTCTGCCATCCAAGGCTGCACACAGGGATGGCTGCCAATAACTTTCACACCTGGGGCCGCAGCCAGCAATTCTCATGACTCTAGTTTTTCTGTCACAAAGAAATTCTTAACAGATCATAGGAGTTCAAGGAAGAACAGTGCAGAAAAATAGAATCTGCACTACAGATAATGTGTCTGGATGACGAGCAGTTCCAACAACCTGCAAGGTCCTTGGCTGTTGGAAGTCCCTTCACTCCTGCTGTTGGTGCAACTTTCCTACATCAGCACACCAAATGGGTTCTCTTGGCTCTCAGTGATCCTTTCAACTTTGCACTGGTGTTCCAAGGCAGACATTTCTTTCTTTTCCATAGATGGCTTGGCTTTCTCTTTCTGAATTGCATCAAGTGTCTTCCATTACTAGATCACAAGGAAATAACCCGTTCACTTTTTTCCACCAAATCCTACTGGTCACATTTCTTCAAAATCTTGCAGTGAGGATTCTTCTCTGAATTTTCAGTATCTTATCATCTCTAGAGAAAACTCAGGCTAACAAATCACTTTGCTAGGGTAAAAGAGGTTCTAGAAGAAAGAAGGTGGTGTGTTGTAGAATACCAAACCTGGAAAGCTTCCAGGGAAAGGAGAGGATAAGTGAACTCAGCTTCATTAATTTCTCAGGAGATCTTTGGAAAATAGAGGAAAGACTTTTGTCAGAAGACCGTTAGGATAGGTGAGTGATGTCTGTTGGAAGAGTATCACAACAGGTGTCTGCAGCACCAGACACAAGATCCAAAGCTGCTTCTATCTCCTTTCTGATTGCCGTCCCATCACACTGGGTCTGGCTGGGATGGAGTTAAAATTTTCTTCAGAGCAGCCCATGCAGTGCTGCATTTTGAATTTGTGAGGGAGACAGTGTTGATAACAATCCAGTGCTTTGGCTACTGCTGAACAGTGCTTGCATGACATCAAGGCTTTCTCTTCTTCTCGCTCCACATGCCTCCCAGCAAGCAGGCTGGGGACAGACATAGCCAGGACAGTTGCCCCAAACTGATCAAAGGGATATTGCACACCACACGATGTCCTGCTCAGCAAACACAAGCTTAATGAAAGCAGCAGGATGCAGGGATGTTTATGGATGTTCATGGTTATAGTATTTGTCTTCCCAAGTAAACATCATGCACACTCACACCCAGGAAATGGCTAAACATCTGCCTGCTGATGGGACACAGTAATTAAATTCCTTATTTTGCTTTGCCTGCATGCAGCTTTTGCTTAACCTGTTAAACTGTCTTTATTTCAATTCACAAGCCTTCTATTTTGCCCCCATCCTGCAGGAGAGGGGCGCAAGCGAGCAGCTGGGTAGGTGCTTGGTAGTTGGCCAGGGTCAAGCCATCACCGCCACAGAAATGCGGGGAATATTCCCACTTTTCACACAAAACAATCGCCTCCTCTCTACTGCTTATATCTGACAGGCAAGCTTGGCCGAACTTGTGCTTCTTCCACACTTTCTGGAACAAACACAGATGAGACTGCACATTTACCAATAAAGGAGACACAGCATCTGTACACACCTGCTCCATAAGCAGCTTGGCCTCACTGCCAGGCTACAGGATGCAGGTGCCTGGTCCAACCACCACAAGTCTTTTCTTCAGGTGCTCAGCTGTCTTGCACATGCTCCTGGGTCTGTGATATGTGGGCTGCATAAAATAGGTTATGAAGCCCAGTTCATTCACATCATTCTCTTTACTGTGTATCAGCCCTTCATTAGGTGTCTGCTTCCTATGGGATTTCTACTATAGTTTTTCTACTATTCTGTGATTCTGTGATTCTGCCCCAAAACACTTACTCCACACACAGTCAACCCATGGATGCCCATAGTATCACCCTTACTTGCTTGCTCTATCACAGGCACTTACCTCTTTTACAGTAATCTCAATTATTAAAGAGTTTAGTTCCATTATATACCTTCCTTCATCACCCACCGTTGTGCGTTTGGTGTATCATCTTCTCCTACCCTTGGTCTATCCCAAGCTATTCAGAGCAGGCACCATCTTTTTCTTACCTTGTAAAAGCCTGTCCTGCCTCTCTAATCCACTTGAGGTTTTGATGCTGTCAAGAGGCATATTAATAAGGAATATGGGGCTGACACAGTCCACTAGGCTTGCCGAAGATTTATCTCCAAAGCAACATCCTTTGCCAAAACCCTATACATACACTAGGCATCCACATGGTAATACAGAAAAGCCTTGCAGATGAAAATTTGATTAACGTATAGAAAGTAAGAATAGTAGCAAAGTCTCCCATGAACAGAAATTAGCAGTGAAGTTCCTCAGGGATCAGTGATGTTGAATATAACCAAGAAAAAAAACAATGACAAATTCCATTGGCAAAATAGTTATTTATGGCTGTAACAGTAAAGACTGAAGACCTGCAGAAGGGCCTTACAAGATTCAATGACATGGACAACACAAAGTAGTGAAAGACGTCCACACAACACATGACAGAATATGCTGGGAAAATAGACTACAAAGATCTACAAAAATTATGACGGCAAAGACAGTTTGAGCGTACATTCTCTCCTACAATGCCAAACTAAGTTAGCATCAAATGAATCTAGCAAGAGACATGTTGAAATAACGACTGAACAAATTAATGGAAAAGATACTCATCAAGAATTATTAAAGATACCACCCCTGGGTAAAGAAATATGCCTTTTTTGCTTTAACAAGTTCAACAAATTCAAGAGAATTCTGTTTAGAAAAAATACACCTCCCCCCCTCAAAAATAACCCCACAACCAAACTTCAACACTGCGCAGCTGGCAGAGGCCTTATAAAGGCTTACAATAATAACGGTAAGAGACATGTATCGAGATAACTGTCAGCAGGGGTTTCTACTGCTTATGTGTTCACATCTGCAAAAGTTTTGTATAAATATCTGCATTCTTACTGCCTAAAGTCTAATTCCCAGATCACTTAAATAGCATTTATTAAACACTGACCATTGACCTGTTATGACAATTGACAGTTCTCAGGAATTCACAAAAGTTGTCATGCACTACAAAACATTAGGAAAACAGAAAAATGTCTACAATTGGGATTTGCAATTTACATTCAGTTTCCTAGAGATAGTCCATGGAATTCCAAAGTGGGAAAGTTTATTTGCTAGGACTAATACAGAAACCCCTCAATTCAAAATATGGAGAATACACTAATAAAAATGCCTATCTTCTGTGTTCTTTGATCCATATAATGTCCCAGAAGCAGAATTTGATGGTCCAAGTCTTTTACTTCTGGTCGTTAACAAGAAACCTATACTTTCCTAAGTACAGATATATTGTAAATCTCATTAAGATCTTCCAGCTACCAGAAAAATTCATGTTTGTTTAAATACAGAACAACTTCTTGAAGTCACTGAAATGAAGAATATGGTCCATACCACCAGCTTCAGTATTTCAGCTTTGCTGCATTTTCCTACGCATCTCTTCAAGCGCCGCTTCTCGTTCTCTTAAGAGCTGTTTAAGTCGGTTTATTTTTTCATCCCGTATTGTTTCATCCAAGTCTGGGGGAGTCAAAGGGAAAGCATCATCTCTGAAAGAATCTTCAGGAACTGAAGTATCATCTTCACAAGACACTAAAACTGGAATACTTGAGTCTGTAATGTCACTATATTGAGAGTAGGGGTCTTGCTCAGAGTCACCCCCTAGAGGCGACGTAACGAAGTCTGTGGAAACACTTTGCTGCAATGATACTGGTGGAGGTGAAACACTTCTGTTAACTACACTGGAACTTGAGCCAGTATCTTCCCAACTTGAACTTGTGGTTGACTTGACTGAAGTTCTCCTTCTCTTTCCACTGTCTGACAGTGGTAAGGATTTTATTTTTCTTTTCTTAGTCAAATCCTCTTCCAGATCCACAATTATCTGTACAGTCAAGAAACATAAAATGTATTTCTGTTAAACTGAGCATCATTCTACATTATAACATCACAGTTCACTAAGCACAAATTACAAGTTATTCGTTGCAAGCCTCTTAGTATATGGAAGATGTTTCTTTTAGCAATTTGAGCAAACATAATTCCATATTTTTATAGCAAAGATTCACAGTTAACAATCCCAGAACACTGAACTCCTTCCTTAGTCAACAGTGCGCTTCTGCCTTTCCTATGCATAGCTATCATCTCCTGTTGCTGCTTAAGTTCTTTAACTGTAGTGTAAGACAAAAATTTTATATCTAACTTGACAGGAAAATTCAAAACGTAGCAGAATTCTTCATGCTTACATTTCCAAAAAGCTCAACATTAGCAATAACGTCCATTCCAAGACTGCACTCCTCCCAGCTGCTTTATTATTTAAATGTTAATGTAGTTCACGAAGAGCAGCCAGCAGGTCTGCTCAAAGCAGGACTCTGAACACAGAATTATTACAACCTGAGAAAGCCTTTGACTGGGTAGAGTAGAATCATACAAAAGAAAATTTAGAACATTGTGGCTGAACAGGACTACTTTGGATGGACAAAATCATTTTAATACTTTAAGATGGAAGTCCTTACACCAAGGGTACCTTTCCAGAAGCACCCAAGCAAGCTCCTAGCCAATGTCAAAGGACTGAGTTTACAAAGACATTTGTAACTCTAGAGGTTAGACAGGTACACAAGGAAATTTGTTTTAATAAAACCACACAAGACTAAGTGGGTACCTTTCTTCGGAAGTCAGCCACACCTAGTCATGTGAGTGACTGAAGTGCCTTGAAATAATGGCACTTGACTGATTTCAAACTCAGGGGTAAAGCCTCACAAGAAACCATTCTTCTATTACTCTGCTTATAACCATTGCACTATTGGATAAACAGAATTGTTTGCAGAAGGTTATATATAAATCAGGATACAGAGGTATGGTTTCTGTTCCAGTAAAGACTATCCCTTTGACTGTTCAGCTGCCATTAGAGGGTCCAGTCTTCCTCAAAGCATTTGTCCTTTGAATTTCCTCCAGTGGAACCCAGAAAGGAGGATAAGAAGACTTAGATGGTACTCAGGTCAACTAAAATCACCCAGCTTTGCTGCAGAACACAAACAAGTTCTAGAACAATTCTCACAGGGACTGTAACAATTTCTGACTTGCCCTGACGAATCCAGAGGTGGGAGGGTTCAAATAACCATGCAGTTCAGTGTTGACTATACGTATGCTGCTTTCTGAATGTGCTGCAATTCACATTTTAGCATGGAAATACTTCAAGATACCTTTTCCTCTTTAATACATTCCTGATGTTGATTTGTTATTTCCACATCTAACGATGATGAACTGCAAGAATCATTTTTCCTTTTCAAGTTGTTACTGGAACAAACCCTTTCTTCTGGTTTCTCACAGGAGGCCCTTAATGGTATTCTCTTAAGGTACACCCTCTCCTGCTTAGAGAGACCAAATTTTTTCCTTAATTCCAAGTATTGTTTCCAAAATGGCTTCTCTTGGTGTTTGATTTGAATCACCTTTCCTGGTGAATCCATCTTTTCACACTGGATCTGAAATACAGAAACAGTGAGAGTGCCATCAATCATACTCTCTCACTCTCCCTCTCCTTCTCTCTCCACACATATAAACTAAAAACTAGCTACTAAAAAGACAGGTGAACATTTGTTTTGTCTGCCGTTCTCCAAGAGTTACCTGTGTTAAAACACAGGTAAGCCAATTTTGGGAAATTATATACATATTATCATAGGTCTAACAGTCTTGTTAGTTATTTAAAACCCCACGTATGTTGTGGAACATCCATAAATGCACAGTCCAACTAGTAAACCACAGAAGTATAAGAAGCAGTAAGGGAATAACCTGTTCTAAAACTTCAAAGTAACGAAGATGACGGAAGATCAGATAGTGTCTTTACAGTGTCACTTTCAGACTGTTGAATGCATTTCATATTTGCATTGTGGTTGATAGTACTAACAAAGCACTATTGGCCATCTCTCATATGTAACCTCATTGTAACTGGAGCTGTTTCTGATCTTCAAGTTCAATCTCCCATCAGTACGTCTGGCAATCCATGGGCTTGCAAATTTAAGGACTAAAAGCAGCAAACATTTGATACAATGTTTTTCACAGAGGTTACAGTAAATGAGAATGCTGACACTTCGCATCACAAAGTGCTGAAGAAGAAAAAAAAATCTTATTTTAACCATTTTCTCAGGTGAGGAACAATCGAAAAAGAGGCCCTACAGTCTGTTGCAATTATTAAATGTCTAAAATTTGCCAAATATGCTTAGCTGACATTTCTCTTCTGCCTGGTCAATAAAAGCAAGTATAAACTAGCTTCAGTATCATTTTTTTTTATCTGGAGGCAAATTCATTCCGGCCTCTTGAGCAGCTGAAAACTTGACCCACCATCCTTCATGGGTAATTTTGGGGAAAGCCATTAAAGATCTCAAGAGTTTCTTCTGCCTGACATGAAACTGTGAGTCAAAGGAGGTGGATCTCTCCCCATCATGGCATGAAAGGGAGGAAATGCAGCTTCTGCCTCCGGCTGTCTGAGCTAGCGGAGGCTGGATCTGACGTAGTGCAACACCAGAGTTTGTCTCTGGATGACAAATGCTGCTCTTCCACCTTGTCTTCCTCTTGTGTAGCTGTAAACTCCTCTACCTTACACCACACCTACAACACAGCCAATGGCTGTGCTGTGAGAATGTGTCATCAACATTAGAAAGCAGACAGCTCACAGAGCTCAATGAACAACTTCCCTAAAGCTTCCGTTGTTACCTACAATTTATCTTGTGAAGAAACAAATAGTCATCTTTCCCATGCCCCTTTCTTTTCTTTATGCAATCTTACTGAAAAAAAAAAAGGATCATTTTTTGAATAGAACTACACTTTAGACCAGCACTTCCAGTGACAAGATACCTGGTTACAAAAAATCTGTGAACTTATTAATAGTCATTTTATTCAAATAGAACCAGGACCATATAACAATTTAGCAGAGACTGAGATGGGCATGTTTATTGGAGAAATTCTTTGCCATTTTGGCATACATTTTCCTGTGTCCCTACTGCTGTAATAGGGGTCACTCCATTTGAAATGCTCCCGGTGAAAGGCAAACTCTTTCTCTGGTTTACAGTGGAATTATGCTGATTAGCACTTGGTGTCACCAGAACTGCAGGTGCAGATTTTAAGTCATTTCTTAAGCCAGTTGGTGAAGAATTTTTTGAGTTTGTACCCGTTTTTGGATCCTTCTGAGACAGCACCATTCCTTTGCTTTTTGACAATACCAGATTCACTACTTTATTCGTTATTTTATTGACTGCAGTAGAATCAATTAGCTTGGATGTCTCCTTTTTAAGTGAAGCATCAGAAGAGGAAGATGCTTGTTTGTCAGCTTGGGCTGACAGAACATCAGAGCCTCTTTTGGTCAACAAGTAGACTTTCCCATTGTACATGACCAGAGCATTATCTTTAATAGATGTGATTTTTGTTTGGCTTCCACCAGGACCACTAGAACAGAGAGGTAAAATATTTGCAGAGTTAGCTTCTACATTCTTCATGTCTGACAAGGTTTTCAAGATCTTGGAAGCCACATTATTTGATGACTTTACAGGAATAAGGCAAGGCGCTGATGACTGTGGAGTTTCTTGCACAATCCATTTCATCGGAGTTTGCTGGTACTGCTGACCATCAGATGTTACTGCCTCAGGAGAAGAACAATTTCCCTCTTGTGTAGCTGTCATTATTAATGTTTTTGAAACTTCTGGGGCAGGTTTTGGGCAAATGGTTTGCAAACGCTTGGGAAGTACTGTTTTCACTGTGTTCACTGGTGACACGTAAATAACAGTTGGCATTTTTGTACCATCAGCTCCTCCAGACACATTAGTCGCTGCAGCTGCAAGTATTTTTTGCTGTATTGCAGGTGGCAAAAAAGAAGCTGGGACAGATTTCACTTCTGCATCAGCTGGTATCTGGAGGTGGTGGCCAGAGGGCAGTACTGAAGACTTCATAGCAGCTGGAAGACTTGTGGTGTTTACCAACATGTATGCGGTGTTACTCTGGTTAGATGAACTTGTTACAGCAATGTTCTGCAAAGACAGTCTATCAACTGAAACACAGCTGCTCTGGACGTTAGCAGCTGATTTGGGAACTAAGACTTCTTTTTCAGAATCTCCCCTAGCACTTTCCTGTTTGTCTGATGTCCTTGTAAGAATAATCTTTCCAGGATTAGGAGACTGAAAAACAGGTATTTTAACAGATGAAGGTGCAGTAGTATTGGTAAGCTGTGTCTTAAAAGTAAGATGGACTGGACTAGAAATACTCGCTTTAGAATTATTTGGCATGGCTGAAGACTGAACTATTGGCACAAAGCTTCCAGAAGATTTAGAAACTGGAAGTAATTTCAGAAGGTTTTTTCCATCTGGTCCTGTCGTCTGAACTACTCGGTACATACAGCCTGCAATGCTTAACAAAACAAAGAAAAAAGAGAAAAGAAAAATGAAAGATAGCATAAGTGAACACAGCATAGATATTTTAATTAATGTGCATCAGTGAATTGTATACCCAGTGCTGCTATACCTTAGAAGCAGATTAACTACTGAAAAATGCCAGCTCTAATCTTCAAGAACTTCACTGGCAAAAATCATACTGGTCTACTCAGTGTACATTTGGAGTTAGCATTTCAGAATACCACAGATTATCTGAAAATAATGTCCAACTTTTACATCACAGAACAGCAAGAAATGGCATCCTTTTCAGATAAAATAAGTTAAAAGACCCAAGAAAACACCTTATGTTATCCCCCTTTTCTACTTACAGGGCCTTTCACTCTGAAAAAGAAAAACATTCTTTCCATATTTCACAGAGAACCCATATTTTCTGCTTTTCCATCTCCCTGTTACTATTAATAACCCTACTTAGTGCTCTGAAGTACTAATCTCAGGAAAGCTTCAGGAAAACACAGGCAGATTAGTTGCACGGCGAGATGGAACCAGAAATTACTTCAGACACATATATACAAAAAAGAAATTAAGATGCAGAATACATCTATTTTGTGGCATAGGATGCAGGGTGACCAACTCATATGCCTACATCTCACATGCCTGCTCATTCTTTAGGCAAATATAGACTACAAAGGTGGTCATCTTCAAATGCTATCAAGGTACATACATTTATGAGAACAGAAGTCTAAGTCTAGGAAGGAAAAGGCTTCAAAAATGAGAAGGAATACATGGAAACACCACCAGTGAACTGTGAAGAGTAAATACAGATTTTTTTTGCAGGTGAAGATAGGAACCCAAAACAGCAGACAGACAGACAGAACCTTGTCAAACCAGAAGTTATTTGTGACTGCTTCAAGTGCCAAGATTGTTCAAGTCCATTGCAAAACAGCGAATCTTCCCCACTTCAAGTAAGTTTGCCCGAATGCAGGCACCTTTCTCAAAGAACTGTTTGGCTCTCAGAAGAACAATTTAATGCCCAAAGCACTGCAGAAGCAACACGACATGTTGAGACATATATGATCAAAACAGTTTCCCTCATTAGTAAAGAAGAGACCAAATGAACTGGAAGTACGTTTCATGATCTTGACATCAGATCCAGAATGATCAAAAGACAAAGCCGCCAACTCCACTTTCAGTCACCAAGAGCATTCTAGCTCTGTCCCATTGACTTCCCACATCAATACAGGCATTAAGAACATGGACATGAGATTATTTCCCAGTCCCAGTTGACAGCGGTATTGTGTTCTGTTTACTGTCTAGTAGTTCTGAAACACTTGCACTTTTTCTGGCAGTGAAGTGTTACAGTTTGGGCTTCCAACTCAGCTTGGAACAGAGTGACTAGGAGATACCATTCATGCGTCCCACCGTTGTAGCTGCTCAAGAAGTCAGTCAAGGCACTGCCCATTCCCATCAAGTGAGAAGTCAAAAGGATGCTCTTCACTCCCAGAGTTGGACAGTTCCTGCTACAGTCTGACAGGGTCACGTTTCCCTTGGTGGTCGACATAAATAAGCATGCTATTGTCTGTCTAAAACACCAAGGCTTTAGACATGTAGAGCTTTCCTCACTGTAACCTTGGAATTTAGTCCCACATCCAATATTTTGGTGCAATGCCTCATTTCTAGGCATAATGTGTGAGAAAGCAGACATTTATATGATTTATCAGTGCAGTGGGCAGGAAATTCTGCAATACTTTCGTTTCAAAAATAACGTACTGAAAATGAAAGCATGGGCAATGCACCACATGGTTCCTACCGGAAGCTGCCATCAGAGGTTTTAGTAATAAAATGGACTTGGACGTTCTGAAATCAGAAATAACAGTTGACTCTGAAGGGTAACGATCTTACAGAAGTATTTTCGCTTAAACAAAGAGCAGCTAGAAATATTTGTATGTTTGAACTTAATTAAAGCAGAAAAGACTCATATTTGGAGCCACTTTAAACCTCCTAGCACTACCAGTGATGTGGAATTACGACAACCAGCGTTGAGCTCCTGGGCAACTTTTGGCATCTGGATCTGTTATATGCTTTGAATCTCTCAGTGCTTCTTTAATAGCCCTGTGATCTACAGTTTCAACTTTTTCTTCTCTTCTACATACAAGAATTAACATTCCAAAGGCAAATTCAGAAAGAAATTTTCAGCCAGTTCCACTGACACGGAAATGCTGAACCACTACAGCTTTTACAGAGCAAACAGGCGCTTACCTCCACTCAAACTAACTAGCACTGCAAATAGGCATCAAACGGCAGAAGAAACCTCCAAAGAGGCACGCTCCTACACCTGTCAAAGCAAGGGGACACCTCTAACTTTTGGGCAAGAAGAGAGGGAGCACAAAAGAGAGAGGAAGTAAGAAGAACGGGGAGAGAAAGAGAGAGATGAGATAGAGGATGCATTTGCATTAATACTTTCTTCAGCGGCAACGCTGGCTTCCAGTGCTGACCTCCACTCTTCTCATTTCCACCTTGAGTCACTCTTCACCTCCCTCTCGAAGGACTTAAAAAAAATGGTTTTGACACTGTGCTACAAACAGAATATTTTAAGCAGGCTAAGGAAGAAACCTGCTTTAAAAAAATACAGTTTGTCTGAACTCCAGATCACTCTGCTCTTCATGATTACGGAAGACAACTGCAACTTTTTATCTTCACACTCAATGCAAAAAGCGCAAGGAACCCCAAAATTAGTTTTCTGGAAAATAACACTCTTTTACTTGAAATACATAGCAGGTACTTACAGGACTGCAGAATTACAAAAAGCTAAAAGATAGACAAGAAAGAAGGAAAGGAAGGGTTCACATGAGATATTGAGAAGTTTTATTCACATCTATTTACTCAAACATCTATGACAGAGGAAGGAAAGATGTCATTGCCAAACTTTTTGATCACTTTTGCTGTTTCAGATACAAGTGGAAAATGCTTCACCATCTTTATCTCACACGACTAAAGACTCTTCCAGGTGATACAAAGAAATAACCAGGACTGACGTTTCATGTTACCAAAATAAAATAAAGCATTTTCAGCTTTTTCACACATTATTGAGTGACGAAGAGGAGAGCAAAAAGCTATTTTCATTCACTCTGCAGGCCATTGTTTCTTTGAAGTTACGTTTTAAGAATCCCTTAAGCAGAGTGGAAAAATCTTTCCAACAGTATCCCCCTTAAAAGAGTGTCAGATTAATTTAGTTTAAGAACAAGCTCATTTCTTTTCCTAAAAAAAAAAAACCAATAGGAATTCTGTAAACCACGCCAAGTTGTACTTAGGGATTTTTCCCATAATGACTGGAGTAGTTTTCTTTCTCCTCTTCATCCTCCTTCAGTTCCCTACCCCACAAATACAAACCTCCTCACATCTCGCCTATTAACACTTAGAAATACTTCCGTACTTTAGCATGGCCCAAGTCCTGAACACGAGGCAGATCCCTGAACAGAACTGGGGGACAATAAGCTCATGAAAGAAAAAAAAAAGTGGTGGACTGGTAGGAATCTTCTCTAACGTCACCACCAAATTCAGGTAGCTGGCTTTCTATAAAAAAAACCAAAACAGCTCTGTGACATTCCGAGAGAGAACTGTCAACTAAACGACATTTTTCTTGACTGAAAAAGGGCATTATTTCTTTAGGTAAAGAGTCTGCATGGCAATATTGAAAGCTTCCCAAACAACAACGGAAACGGCACTAAGCAAGCTACGAAAGCAGATATAACAGAAAGAAACAGGAAGATTTATTTATTCATTTATTTCTATCAAGCTAGACAAATAGAAAGAAGAATAGCATACGTTTCCCTCAGTTGAAACAGAATTCCTGTTTTCTTCACTTACATGATCAGGCACACCAATTTTATTGTCTCAAGTTCTCATCCCATATTGTTTATTGCTCTTATTAAGTAGCAGGCTCAAATAACAAAATACTGAGTATTTAAAAATTCATTTTCTGTTCCTAATGTTTGCATTAGCACAAACACCCTTAGAATACTTCCAGTAAATAAAACCCACTCAACGAATCCATTGCAACCACCAGGGCATCCCAACACATTACTGCAACAGAAATCACCATCATGCCGTCTAAAAAAAAAAATGTATCAGTGGAGATAATGAAGACAGAAAGACTTGCTCAAGCTTCCATTCTGCTTCCAAGTTGTCAGAAGAAACACTCCCTTTCCACAGAAGCAAGCTACTTCTTAGTCTGCCTTCACTCCCAGCTACTACTTTAGAGACAACTTTCATCTACGAATGTGAATAAATCAAATGGGGACTACAAGCCACTACAAACTTCAGAGAACCAACTTCACTTGTTTTAAGGCATTGAATCCAGAAAGCAGCAAAATAACATTTACTATAAATTGGAAACGTACACTTAGGGACAAAGTGAAATTAATTGATTGTAGTCTGTATTTATTTTATACAGCCATATCCCATCCAGGTATTACCTAAATATTTTAACAAAATATTTTTTTATTTTATTACCTGAAGGAAAATGGGAAATTGATGTTGAGTTTGCATACAAAGCTAAGAATCCTGTCCAGAATTGAGGCCCAAGCCATTCCTAACAGCTTGGGGTTTTACCGTAAAGCAGAAACTTTCAACAATGGCAGTACGGATAATTACTCTAGGATGTGCTAAATTCTGGGAAATGGTTCCTGAGCTTTATTACAAACCACAGCTCTCCCGATGAGTGACCAGGTCCTCCTTCAGCCACAAAACCTCTGCAGAACTGCAGACAACGCCAACAGCACCAAAGACGCATCCCACGGCCACAGCAACCCCGTGGCTCCAAAGAGCCCCCCCCGAAAC